AGTTACTGGGCCTCTGTGGGGGAGAGAGGAGTGGGCCTTAGCCCATGTGCTAATGACTCTGTACTTACTGAGATTTAGTAGATGTTCTTGCATAAATGTTTCTCGGTATGCTGTTTGCTCTTAGGACAATTTCCAGAGGCTTAAAAAATGTGTTTTAATACTTTTTAAAACATAGTTTATTGATTTTTAGAGTGAGAGGAAAGGAGAGGGAGAAACATCATTGTGAGAGCACATCAATAGGTTGCCGCCCACATGGCCCTACCGGGGATTGAGCCCGCAACCCAGGCATGTGCCCTGACTCGGAACTGAACCAGCAACCTCTCTGTGCACGGGATGATGCTCCACCAACTGAGCCACGCTGGCCAGGGCTGTTTTTATTTATTTTTTAGAAAACATATTTATTGATTTCAGAGAGAGGAAGAGGGAGAGAGAAACATCAATGATGAGAGCTTCATTGATCAGCTGCCTCCTGCTCACCCCCTGCTGGGGATCGAGCCTGAAACCCAGGCGTGTGCCCTGACCGGGAATCTTACCACAATCTCCTGGATCCTAGGTCAGTGCTCAACCGCTGAGCCACACCAGCCAGGCTGGCCAGGGCTGTTTTAATACTTTATTCGCCAGATATGGTTGTCCTGCTGGAGAACTGGTCCACAGGGTGCCTCACACCAGTGTTCTGGAGTGGACTTCGTGACCTTTTGTTGTTAAATACCCAGCCCGCGTGGGTACAGGGACCTTCTCTTGCATAGGCATGGTGTGGTCAGCACATCCAGGGGATTCAGGCAGATTCTGTACCAACAGCTGACAACTGTTCCATCGGGCAGACAGGGCATTCTCGGCTCAGCTGTGCTCTGTGACTCATAGGACAGCATGGGCCATGTTTGCATCAGGCACACTCAGAAGGACAGGAGCCAGGGCCACTGTCCTGACCTCTCCTGCTGGAGGCTGTCAGCAGAGGCTGAGCCACAGCGGGTGGTGTCACAGCTGCCCTGCCTCGCGGGCCTCCTGGAAAACCACAGAGCAGAGCTCCTGGCACTGCCCCTGATCCGGGCGCCCACGGACGGTTCCCCACCAGGCGTTTGCAGGCAATGGTCAGGTGGCGTTGCCCTCAGAGGTCATTTTTAGCTAAGTGCCGTCCCCTGGCCACATGGCTGTCAGCTTCCTTGAGCCAGAGTATGAAGCACAAGTCATGTTCTCGTGCAGAGTTTTGTTGGTCTTTCATCCACACAGTCCATCTTCAAACTTTGACCATTTGCTCCACTGTTACTGACCTTTTTCCCACCTGGCACCGCGTGTCGTGTTTAGTCCCCAGTCCCCTTAGTTCCCCGTCATCTGCCGCAGTTGTCTGCCTTTCTTTGTCATTCGTGACCTTGCCGTTCACAAGAGCAAAGCCAGCTAATTCGGAGACTGTTGCAGTTCCCTGCTGGGGAGGCACTTGGCAGGGACCCCACCGAGGCGACGTTGTCCTTCTCAACGCACCTGTCAGGAGGCACAGGAGGCTGGTTGCTGCTGCTCTTAACGTAGGCCACTGGGTGGGGGTGATGCCTGCCAGGTTCTGCCAAGATCACCTTTTCTCTTTATAGTTAATGAAACACCAGCGGAGCTGATTCACGGAGACCATGACAGCCCTGTTCCTCAGCCAGCTTTCGTCCACTCGTCTTACTATCCGCTGATGATTATTCTTTTAAAAATTGTGTATTGCTGGCACCATTGCAGATGCCCTCATTCCCCCACCCTTGGCCCCTCCCTCTCTCGGCGCGCCCCACACGACGTGTCCATGCTGTATGCATATACCTTTGTTCTTCGGCTAACCCTTCACTTTCCTCTCTCCAGTCCCCCAGCCCCCTTCCATGTGACATCTGTCAGTCTCTTCCATGTATCCAGGCCTCCGCGTCTATTTTGTTCATCAGTTTATCATTTATTTATTCATTTTTTTAACCCTCACCAGAGAATATACATTTTCTCCATTGATTTTTAGAGAGAGTGTAAAGGGAGAGAGGGAGAGAGAAAGAAACATCGATGTGAGAGAGACACATCCATTGTTCACCTCCCGCATTCACCCCAACGAGGCATGTGCCCTTGACCAGGAATCGAACCCATGAACCTTCAGTGTCCTGAGCCAGTGCTCTAACCACTAAGCCACACTGGCCAGGGCCGTTCATCAGTTTATTTTGTTCATTAGATTCTACATATGAGTGAGATAATATGGTATTTGTCTTTCTCTGCCTGGCTTATTTCACTTAGCATAATATTCTCCAGGTCCCTCCACACTGTCCCAGAGGGTACGAGACCCTTCTTTTTCACAGCTGCATAGTATTCCATGGTGTGAATGTCCACAGTTTTTTATCCACTAACCTACTGACGGGCACTTGGGCTGTTTCCAGATCTTGGCTATTGTAGATAACGCTGCTATGAACATAGGGGTGCATAGATTCTTTCTTTAGTGTTTTGGGTTTCTTAGGATATATTCCCAGAAGTGAGATCACTGGGTCAAAAGGCAGCTCCATTTTTAATTTTTTAAGGAACCTCCACACTGTTTTCCACAGTGGCTGCATCAGTCTGCATTCCCACCAGCAGTTCACCAGGGTCCCCTTTCTCCACACCCTCACCAGCTCTTGTCATTTATTGATTGGTTGATGGTGGACATTCTGACAGGTGTGAGGTGACACCTCATTGTGGTTTTAATTTGCATCTCTCTGGTGATTAGTGATACTGAGCATTTTTTCACATGTCTCTTGGCCGTCTGTGTGTCCTCTTTGGAAAAGTGTCTATTCAGGTCCTTTGCCCATTTTTAATTGGGTTTGTCTTCCATTGATGATTCTTGCCTAAATCGCTTTTTTTTTTAAATTTTCATTGTTGACAGTATTACAGATGTCTCACATTTTCTCCCTTTTTGCTCCCTCTAGCCAACCCCCGCCCTACCCCAGGCCTTCCCCACACTATTGCCTGTGTCCATGGGTTATGCATATGTGAATATTTGTTCTTTGGTTAATCTCTTCCTACCCCCTCCCAACCCCCAAATCACTTTTATATATATATATCTCTTTATTGATTTCAGAGAGAGGAAGGGAGAGGGAGAGAGAGAAACATCAATGATGAGAGTCATTGATTGGCTGCCTCCTGCACGCCCCTGACTGGAGATCGAGCTGGCAACCCGGGCAAGTGCCCTGACCGGGAATTGAACCTTGATCTCATGGATCCTAGGTCGATGCTCAATCCCTGAGCCATGGCTGGCCGGGCCCAAATCACTTTTTTTATGTGATGTTGCCAACGGTGATATTCTGACTCGGCCCTTCCTCCTACCCTGTCATTATGTGTTGGCCCCATTTTTTTTTAAGTACTTACTGTGATACCCGAAGCTCTTCTCCTCCGTGAAGCGAGCTGGCTTCCTGTGTTAATTGTACCCAATTACTGAGAATTAAAATGTCCAATTAGAAGTAGGTACTTTAACCTGAAGTGAAAGAAACCTCTCAGTTGAGGCGCATGGTGACATATCTGAAGGACAAACGTGTGTCTCAAAGGCTGGGAGATGCTCTGGCTGATGGCACCTGTCACAAAAGCAGGAAGAGGGACAGATGTGATGGACACAGGGGACTCTACATGTGTCACAGCACTGAGGGAGCTGAGGGCCTGCTGCCCAGGGGACTGGAAAGAGCCCTGTCAGAGAGGCTCTAACTTCTGAAAATGGAGCAGCCTAAGTAGAAGGCATTGAACCCTAGGCAAGTAAAATGATTTCATATATAAATGGGTTATAGTCGATGCATGAGAAAATTAGACTTTGAAGAACAAATATCATTTGGAACTAACATAAAACTTCATTCCAAAGAATATGTGTGTGTCTGGGTGGTGTGTTGCACCCCCGCACCCCTGACGCTAAAGATTCAGTTTGTCATTTGGGTCAGACTGATGGTTATAAAAAGTGTCTGTGCCAGTTTTATTTATTTTTATTTTGTAAATGTTTTTATTGATTTGAGAGAGAGGAACATCACTGTGGGAGAGGAGCATGAATCAGTTGCCTCCCATATGCTGGGGCATGGAACCCGCAACCTGGCCATGTGCCCGGAGCTGGAATCGAACTGGTGACCTTTTGGTGTGTGGGCCGATGTTCAACCCCCTGAACCACACCAGCCAGGGCTGTGCCACTTTTATTTATTTTTGTGTGATTCCTCACCCCAGGATATTTTTTCCATTGATTTTTGGAGAGAGTGTAAGGGAGGGAGGGAAGGAGCCGAAAGAGACAGAGAGAGAGAGAGAGAGAGAGAGAGAGAGAGAAGCATTGGTGTGTGAGAGACACATGGATTGGTCGCCTCCAGCAGGCGTCCCAGCCAGGGCCAGGGGTCCAACCTGCAGCCTAGGTACTTGCCCTTGATGGGAACACACCAGCCAGGGCGGCTGTGCCCCTTTTAGTGGTTTTTCTCCCTGGCCTGGCAGCCAGGTTGCTGGGAGTGTCGTCGGGACACTGAAAGGTTGTGGATTCGATCCCCGGTGAGGGCGCGCTTGGGTGGCAGCCAATCCGTGTTTCTCTGTCTCATGTTATTTTTTTTTTTTCATTTCCCTAAAATCAGAAAAAACATATCCCATCCTCAGGTGATGGTTAAAGGATAACAGTTGCCCTGGCGGGTGTGGCTGGGTGCCTAGAGCATCAGGGCACAGGCCTGGGTTGCCGGAGGCAGCTGATCAGTGACTCTCATCATTGATGTTTCTCTCCCTTCCTCTCGCTGAAATCAATATTTTAAAAAAATTGATGTTCTCGCACGTGGATGTTCCTCTCTCTCTCTCTCTCTGAAAAACAATGGAGAAAATATCCTCAGGCGAGGATTAAAAAAGAGAATTAAAGAACAGCAATAAGAAGAAAAGCGGCTGTCACTGCGACTTCTAGGCCAACGTGGGTCCTTCCCGGGAGAGTAGTGGGACCCCTCCCGCTGTGTCCCCCGCAGGCGTCTTTCGGGGTGCGGCTCCTGAGCCCCGGCGCGTGCTGACCCCGTCTCCTCTCTCCTAGGCACCTCCTACCTGACCGACGTGGTGTGGTGGGCGGGCACCATCGCCAGTAAGTGCCCCCTGCGGGCGGGGCCTCCCCGGGGAGATG